CCAAGGGCGGCGCCGCCCCCGCCCCCGTGGATCTGGACGTGAGGTTCGAGCGCGGCGCGCACGGACACTGCGACGACTTCGACGGCCGCGGTGGCACTCTCGCCCACGCCTACTACCCGCGCTTCGGGGGAGACGCCCACTTCGACGCCGATGAGCACTGGACGCTCGGGGAGTACAGAGGTGAGCCTTGCTTGCTCTTTGCTTCCTCCGGCCATATTTCCTTCGTTCATTCTCACTCTCTTACTTTCATTTATCATCTCTTGGCTTCTAATATTTGAGATTCATTGATAGAGATTTAGATGGGAGAGATTTAGGTGAGAGGGAGAGATTTAGATGGGAGGAAGAGATTTAAGTGGGAGGGAAATATTTAGATGGGAGGGAGAGATTTAGTTGGGAGGGAGAGACTTAGATGGGAGAGATATTTAGATGTGAGGGAGAGATTTAGGTAGGGGAGGTATTGTATTGGGAGGGAGATATTTAGATGGATGGGAGATTTAGATGGGAGGGGGAGATTTAGATGGGAGGGACAGATTTAGATGGAAGAGAGATATTTAAGTGAGAGGGAGAGATTTAAATGCGAGGGAGAGATTTAGATGGGAGAGATATTTAGATGTGAGGGAGAGATTTAGGTAGGGGAGATATTGTATTGGGAGGGAGATTTAGATGGGAGGGACAGATTTAGATGGGAGGGAGAGATTTAGACTAGAGGGAGAGATTGAGATGGGAGGGAGCGATTAATTTTGAGAGATGAGTCTATATTTTTAAGGGATTGTTCCAAAGTAACTAATAAAAAAATAAATGAAACCAGTATGTTGAAAAATGGCTGGAGAAAGAATATCGGTTGCCAAATTTTTATTTGCGTCTCCCTGCGCAGGCACGAACTTCTTCCAAGTGGCCGTGCACGAGTTCGGCCACTCCTTGGGGCTGCGGCATTCGGACGACCCCGACGCCGTGATGGCGCCCGTGTACCGTGGCTACGACCCGTATTTCGAGCTGCACCAGGACGACATCGACGCCATCCAGGACCTCTACGGCGCTCCCTCCCACTCTCCGATGCAGATGGCGGAACAGACGCAACAGCAGCAGCAAGAGGACGACGAGGAGGAGGACGAGGAGGAGGAGCAAGGGAAGGAGGACGAAGGCGAGGAGACTGACCAAGGGAAGAGTAGTGGAGAGGAGGAGGGAGGAAATAAGGGGCAAGAGGACAAAGGCGACGATGGTAATGAGGGCGAGGATGGGGATGGGAAAGAAGAAAGTGAAGAGGTGAATGAGGACACAGAAGAAGATGAGGATGAAGATGAAGATAGGGAGAAAGAGACGGACACCCCCACCAACGAGCTGTGTGACGATCCATCGGTTGACGCCATGTTTAACACCCCCGACGGAGACATCTACGTTCTCAAAGGTACGTACCGCTTCCTTTTGCCTGAGAACACTCGTTTTCCAAAGATATTTCTATCCTTCGACTGCTGTAGTTGTTTTCCTCTTTCCCATTACATCTCTCGATCCACCCAACACGCCTCGCCCCACACCTCTGGACCCAGTTATTACATCTGACTCCTCTCGCCTCCACGTTTTTGTATCACACCTCGCGCCCCACACTTCCCATCCCACATATCTCAACCTATTCCACGCTTCTCGCGCCATTAGTCACACCTGACTTCTCGCACACACTTCCTACCCCACCTCTCGCCGCACTCCTCTCGCGCCACACTTCTCACCTCACACCTTCTTTCCCACTCCTTTCACTCCACGCCTCTCTTACCATATACCTCTTGCCCCATTCCTCACATCTGACTCCTCTCGCACCACACCTCTCGCCCCACGACTCTATCCCCATACCTCTCACCCTATTCCTCACACCTGACTCC